TTTTTGTATTCTATCTGTTTTCTTTTTATTTATTATACAATTAACAAAAGCAAAAAAGGCCTGTAACACTAGCTTGCTCTATTCTTTTTCTATTTTGTTTTGTTTTTATTTATTATATAATTTAAAAAAAACTTGCTACGTGTACTGCATTAAGCAAACTGAGACTTGTTATAGCACTTGTATATCATTGCTTTCTTGTTGATTTTGATTGCTTCTGTCCTCATTTGTAAGTCGCTTTGGATAAAAGCACCTGCTAAATGACTAAATGTAAATGTAACTGAACACAATCTTGCTACTAAAACTATGTAAAAAATGTTTTTACATATATTTATTTGCTCCTTTTTCCATTTAGCATTTTCTTGTACTTTTACTTTCAATACGCAAGTACGTTAAGTCTCTGTGTGTTTGTGTGTGTGTGTTTGTGTGTGTGTGTTTGTGTGTGTGTGTGTGTGAGGGCAGGTGTATGGCGCTCATGGACTCAATGCGTTCGAGTGTCTGCGTCAGTCCTGCGCCGCCGTCATCGCCACCATGAACAAGATGTCCACCGTCATGCAAGAGGGAGAATACGACGCGGAGCGGCCGCAGCGTCCGGTACACACACACACACACACACACACACTGATGCTAACGATCGCTCAATCCCATGATGCCGCTGCTCTGTCTGATGCGCTGTGTGTCGTCTGTGCAGCGTCCGCCAGTGGAGATCCGCGCCGCTGCTGTCAGAGCCGAGATGACCGACGCAGAGGGTCTGGGAAACAAGCTGGAGGACCGAGAGACGGTCATCAAAGAGCTGAAGAAATCCCTCAAGATCAAGGTCAGATCGCAGAAAACTCATCGCTTCCGTCTTTGTGACACATTAGAAACAAATAAAAATGTACATATACTGCGGGTACAGAACGTCATATATATATTAAAATCTGAAATCTGTATGTGCCGCAGCGTCCGGTACACACACACACACACACACACACACTGATGCTAACGATCGCTCAATCCCATGATGCCGCTGCTCTGTCTGATGCGCTGTGTGTCGTCTGTGCAGCGTCCGCCAGTGGAGATCCGCGCCGCTGCTGTCAGAGCCGAGATGACCGACGCAGAGGGTCTGGGAAACAAGCTGGAGGACCGAGAGACGGTCATCAAAGAGCTGAAGAAATCCCTCAAGATCAAGGTCAGATCGCAGAAAACTCATCGCTTCCGTCTTTGTGACACATTAGAAACAAATAAAAATGTACATATACTGCGGGTACAGAACGTCATATATATATTAAAATCTGAAATCTGTATGTGACAATCTCTCAGGGTGAGGAGCTGAGCGAGGCGAATGTTCGTCTGAGTTTACTGGAGAAGAAGCTGGACACGTCGACGAGAGACGCAGACGAGCGCGTGGAGAAGATCCAGACCAAACTAGACGAGGCTCTGACTCTGCTGAAGAAGAAGGAGAAGTACGAGTCTCTCTGCTGATATCAGATGAGCCAGGTGTGAAACGCTCCTCATTTAAAGCGTTTAATGAGTGCTGTTCGCTGTCTGCAGGGAGTTTGAGGAGACGATGGATGCGCTGCAGGCCGACATCGATCAGCTGGAGTCAGAGAAGGCGGAGCTAAAGCAGAGGATCAGCAACCAACCACGAGCCACCGAAGGTTTCCGTGGACCGCAAGCATCTGGAATCGCCTCGATCGTCACGGGAACCGCTACTGGTAAACACACACACACACAAACAAGGTTATTAACTACCAGTGTTTGGGGAAAGTTACTTTTAAAAGTAATGCATTACAATATTGTGTTACTCCCTAAAGAAGTAACTAATTACGTTACTTAGTTACTTTTTTATGGAAAGTAATGCGTTACGTTACTTTTGCGTTACTTTTTAAATCTGCGCTGTGTATCGACTGACAGCTCTTGTGTTGCCATGTTGAGAGAAATCGCGAGTAAGTGCAGCGGCGTTGTGTGCGCTGTGTGAATGTGATGCTTACTGTAGTTCTAGACTAAATATGAACAAAAACAGATTCTGTATTCCTCAAAATGAATAAAAACAGTCAAATGCAAACTCAGAATATTATACAAACCTGCAATAATTAAATGTTAAATAAGACAAATATCATTTATTTAATCCCATTTGAAAAAGTAACTCAGATATTTCCTTCTAAATTAAAAAGTAATGCATTACTTTACTAGTTACTTAAAAAAAGTAATATGATTACGTAACTTGCGTTACTTGTAATGCGTTACCCCCAACACTGTTAACTACAACTAAACATTTCCTTTACATGAAATATAATAAATGTTAACTGAAAGAAAATATAACTTAATTTATCTGAAATAAAATAATTTTTTCATTTGAAGTGCTAAAATAACTAAAACTAAATAAAGTAAAACTAATAAATAAAAACTATATAGACATGTTTTAAAACAAAAAATCAAAAACTAATAAAAAAGGCAGAAATACCCTTAAAAATGAACTAAAACTAAAGTAAGAACAGAAAAATAAGAGTAAACTTTTAAAATTAATGAAAAATAAAATAACACACTGACACACACACAACAGGGTTACTATAGATAACGTCTCGGTTACGTATGTAACCCTCGTTCCCTGAAGGAGGGAACGGAGACATCATGTCGGTGACCGACGAATTGGGATCTTGTTTAGAGAGACCAATCTACTTCGAGCGTAAACTAAACGAGCCAATGCACATTGGCATGCGATGATTGCATCCAGCTGCCGCTGATCACAGCGTGAGCATTAAAAGGCAGCAAATGCAACGCATACCAGGTTTTCGCTCAGCAGCCGTGGCGACGGGACGTTCCCTTTCAGTCGGTCACTCTCAACGTCACGTCGGTGACCGACGAATTGGGATCACTACCAAAGGGCCACAGATACTGCCCCTTCCAGTGTCCTGTAGTAGCCTCCTGCGCCCCTTCTTTTTGGTGTAGGCCGGGGCTCGCAACAAGAAGACCCGTCACTGTTGTCGTAGCACTACCCACTCAGTGTGATTGGATAACACTGGGAAAACGTATCCGTTCCACTCGGAACAGGAACGTTGCGGAAGCCCCATCCTTACCGAAGGAGGTTTCGGAAGCACTTACACATATGAACAACCGTTTAGGTGCATATGGAAGATTAGAGGTGATTATAACCCTCTTGGAAATGGCAGAAGTCTGCCGGGGAAACACGGGCTCTGAGGCTATACCGTGGACTTTACACATATGGGATCCACTTAGGTCTCTACATATGGAACCAAGCCATCTACCGGTTCTCACGAATTCATCAAGTGAGGGCCTGGCGCCGGACATTCCACCACGTCTGGCTGCCGAGAGGATGGAGGAGCTCGACAGGGTCTACAGTACAGACACTCTGCAGCAGTTTTAGCAAGCTGACACAAAACCAGGGCCTCTCAGTGCTTCTACCCGTTTGAGGTGAGAACACAGGAGGATACCGGCTCCACACGAACGCTATAGAATCTAGCGAATGTGTTGGGGGTCGCCCAGCCGGCAGCTCTACAAATATCTGTCAGCGAGGCGCCACGAGCGAGCGCCCAGGAGGATGCAACACTTCTAGTAGAGTGAGCTCGCAACCTGAGCGGGCAGGGCACACCCTGTGCCTGATAAGCCAAGGTGATGGCATCCACTATGCAGTGGGCCATCCTCTGCTTAGAGACGGCATTCCCCTTCTGCCGGCCTCCATAACAGACAAAGAGCT